TCAATTAATATTTAAATTTTGTTCTTTTTCTTTTGTTTTTTTTTCATACCAAAATATAAAAACGAGCACACGCGCACATTGACGACACACAGACACAGGCACACACACACACAACCACACACACAACACCACAGTCATATGAAAAACGCGTGGTGTGAACTCACCTTCGCTGCCATTGGGTTTGGAGGCAGCATCGGCCAAGCAGCGTGGACAGGATGCGGTCAAGTCAATGAGACTGTGTTCCGGTGCAGCGAATGGTAGATTTTTGTATTTGAATGTGCTTGGCGTTGGTGGCGCTATCAAATGTACATACATACATACATAATACAGTATATATTTTACATACATACAATAATACATATCGCATGTACATATTTATAAGTATATCTAATATGTTTATATACTCGTATATGTATATATAATATATAAGTAATATATATGTATGCAGTTTGTAATCGTAAAATAAAAAACTCAACCTAAGTAAAGATATGTATGTATGTACTTAGAGGTACATATACATGTATTTACATTTCTTAGCATATATGTATGTATTGTACATAGGTATATAAAGTAGAGAATACTTAACTAAATAAAAACGAGAAAAAATGTAATCTTTTGGCACATTTAAGGCGAGACTAAACTTAAAGTTAAAATGTTTTAAGATGCAATTTTTTCTACTATTTTAATGCATTTTACAGCAATAAACATTTAAAGTTTTCCAGAAAAAAACATATTAAAAAAATATGTATATCTATCTTATATATGTACATAGTTTATTTTTAAAAAGTGAAGCGCGCATGTGACATTTCGTTAATTAATTTACAACTTTTTTGGTTCAATAAAAACCAAAAACCTAAACAAATAAATCAAAAGCACTACCACAACGCTGGAATATAAATTTTTAATGCCCAGTAATTAAAGAGCGCGGGAGGGAGTATTATTGGCCGCACTCTGCGTTCAATCCCCTTTGCGTGCACAATTAATAATCAGCAAACATTCGCTCAACGTTTATTATTGACGATTGTATCAATCAATTTTATCATTATGAAAATATGTCCGTCTGCCAATTACACTTGAGACAAAACGGTTTAAATGTGTAGGTATGTATAGGCATTTGTGTGTTAATTTCTTTTAAAGCCCAAGTGGTTTAGACGTGTGCGGAAACGGTGAGTCGGTCTAGTCGAATAAGACGAATGCGATCGATTACAATGGATTAAAATAGTCAATATGTAAGTTTCAAAGACAAAGGGAGAGTTTACATAGTTGGATAGAGTCATGCGGTTTCGGCTTACAGATATTTCAAGTTAACTGTTGTGTATGGCTTTCTAATTGTTGAGCACTTCAAAAACGAAAAATGTGCTAATTTTAATAAGCGAAGTATGAGCAAAAATTTTTCAACGGAGCGTATAGCTTAAACAGGTTTGTTTGTTAGAACTCATGGTATACTAATTAAAAAAATTTAATAAAAAAGTATAATAAATACAAAATTTACATAAAAAGAAAATTCATAAAAAAATTAAAAACAAAAGTAATAATTATGAAATTAAAAAAAAATTAATACCGAAGCTATAATAACCTTTACAGGTACATTTTTTATGGCATAAAAGGGTATAAAAAGAAAAAACTTCATTTTGACTTTGATTGGTCAGTTTGTATGGCAGCTAGATGCGATAGTGCTCCGATCGAACTTTATGTGCAGAGATTGCAGCATTGCCTTGCCAAGTCTAGTTAGCCAAATTTCGTAAGGATATCTTGTCAAATGAAAAAGTTTTTCATACAAGAACTTGCTTTAGATCGCTCAGTTTTAAAAAGACAGCTACATTTATGCTATAGTGGTCCGATCTGTACAATGTGTTCAGAGATTGCAGCGTTGCCTTGGACAATAATCTTTGCCAAATTTTGTAAAGATATCTCGTGTAATAAAAAAGTTGCAATACAGGTACTTGATTTTTATCAATTAGTTTGTATGTCAGTTACATGCTAAAGTGGTTCGACAACGGCGATTCCGACAAGTGATCAGCTACTTGAGAAGAAAAGAACTTTTGCAAAATTTTGATATTGCAAAAACTAAATCGATCTGGTCTCTTATATATATATTTTATTGGGCCTCCTACATTTACTTCTGGGTGTTACCAACTTCGTGGCAAAATTGATATATATACCGTTTTTAGGGTATAAAAATAAAAAATAAAAAAGATGAATAAACCATAACATAAATCATGAAAAAATTATTTCTTACAAAAAATTCGTTTACACATCGCAAAGCTAACTTTTGGACTTTGGTCTTATATTTAATAATTGAAATGAGTACATATAGGTACATATAAATGTAAATACATACTGAATATTGATTACACAGCAATTTTGTACATATGTTATCAGTTAATTATGGGCATCTCCCTTTTTGTCGGAATTGCACAAGTTTCTTCAGAATAACCTCGACCTTAACATTAAGGAATATTTTTGGAAATTTTGTAATTGTTGGAAAGAACTTTACGAAATGTAAGTATGTGCACCTATATTTTTTTGAATTAAAAAAAGTCACGCGACAGTTTGTTTGGTACAATATTTGCACATGCATGTGTGTGCGTTTCGATGCAATTTTATTTTAACTCAAACAAATTAACATATAATTCTCAAGCTATTAAACAATCAACTAAATACAGGATGATACGCGAAATTATTGCATAGGAGTTATGGAAATCTTTTTACTTTGAGGTTGTAAAAATGAAGTGCTCCAAATTAGGGTAAACAACTTGTATGACAATACCCCAAATTAGCTTACGGCACGAGTTGACATATTTGTATGGAAATTGTCTTTTGCGTGCCTATGCCTTTCTGATTGTTATTATTATTGTTGTATAAACAAACAAAAAAACACAAAAAATAAAAAAACGCACAAGAACAATTAAATCTAATTAGACATGAACATGCAATGGCATTATTTATTGTATAATAAACATTTGAAAGTGATGAGTACAAAGTAAAAAAAAAAACAAAAAAAAACGAAGTGTAATAAGTAAAAAAGAGCTCAGAATAAAGGAGGTAGAGTGCAAAGACACAAAGATACTTTTATTTGTATTTTGTTTTTGCAGCTTTGGGGGTTGGTGATAAATTGACCAATGCGGTCATTATTAGGCGCTAAGATGACCAGAAATAGGGGGAGGTCTGCTGTTATGCGAGACTAAAACCGAATAACGTGAACGTGAGCATGAAAGAAATGTGACGCCTGGCAACGTGAATTTTCGAGAAAAGCATAGCAGGCGCTTTGGCACGATTACAATAATCAGCTGCAATAACAAACACTATTATTTTCTTTAAACGCGAATCAAAATAAACTGCAAACCAAAGTACATATCCATATGTAGTACAAAACATTTGCTTATATATGCGCATGTATGTATGTCAATGAGCCATTTGTTGGACAACTGACAAATGTCCAACTGACGACGATGGGACTTTGTGCCACCCGAATTGACACAGCTAAGTGCAAGAAAGCGTACCTAGCCAAGTGCAGTAGTGGATGCACCTACGCAAGAATGCATTTCTACAATGAAATATGTACTTACAACTACATATATATATGTATGTATGTATATGTATTTGTGCAGTTGTTTTTAATTCGTTGGTACGACATAGTACAACTATTTGCACATTGAGTATGATTCAAGTAGAATGAAAACCGCTAGTAAAAAATATTTGGCAAATACTTTCGAGTGACGGAAAACCGCGAACATGACCTTTGAGAAGGCAAACGAAATACTATACTCTGCAGATGCCTTCACATTGAGTGAATCAGGGTTATTTCTTCGCTGGTAGAAAGACAACCATCTTTTAAGCGATTGCATGCGTTATTACAATGACTTTATAACGCGTTTAAGCAACTCAATTTAATGAAAAAAAAAAAAACGGTAACTTCGGCTGTACCGAATAATACCCTTCACGAATAAAAACTGTTCCATTTCTCCATTGAGACATAAAAATGCTCACTGTAAAAGAAACTATAGACGAATTAAAAAGTACTCGTTACCTCTCTCGTTTGGAAAATCATGAAAACGTACTTGCGATCCAGTTGCTAGATAATAGTGAACAATGTAGGAGACTAAAAAGATATCATCCGTTAGATCTCCCCTTTCGATTCAATTGATTTCACCTTCATTTTTGTAAAATATTTTTCATTGTACTTCAACATCATTGTTTTTAGTTATTTTTATTTTATTAAGAAGACAGATTCTGAACAAAACTTAATATTACACTTAAAAAAAATTATGTATATGAGCTTGATTTTGATCGGCTGGTACGGCAGCTAGGTATATGATATAGTTATTGGAACTGAACAATTTGCTCGGAAATTGTATAGCGTTATCTTAGCCCATAATCCCTGTTAAACTTCGGGATTATATGTTATCAAATAAATAAAAAAAATTTCATACACAAACTTCATTTTCATCGTTCAGTTTATATGGCTGCTAAATGCTATAGTGGGCAGAACTGAAAGATTTATTCGGAGATTGTACCGTTGCCTTGGATCACAGTAGACAAAAAAAAGTGTAGTTACTTTTCTTCTATTTATAAATTTAACTTAATTTGTGGCATTTTGTGAATTTCATATAAATTACATTATTAATCAAGTAAACTAAATCTACCAAGTGTTTTTCACTTTTAAAATTTTTCAACAATAAAATGAGTGGGGGAGTGTCATCAGCAACATATAATTATTAATAAAAAATTAAGGCAAATATATAATATATGTGTGTACATATGGTTGCATTTTGAGCATTTTAAAATTACTTTCGATTTAATTATTCAATAAAACCGCACGCTTCACTTTTTAATTAATTTTTCTAATTTTTTGGGAATATTCATGTTTTTTGCATTTTTATTGCTTGCAAATATTTTTCTCTTGTCTGCATTAGAATTTTTCTATCTTTTTATATAGTAGCACATCTAGTGATATTTTTAAATAAATAAATATACTTATAATCAATGCAAATAATTACCTTCTTTATCTGTGAGATCCGAGAATTTAACGCCACCACTATATTTTTTTCACAAAAGAAGAAGAGATTAAGAATTAAATCAGTCAACATTTATATTAATAGAACTCGAAAAAAAAATTGTGAACTATTCTCAATTGCGGAAATGCGCAAATTTGAAAAATTTACTTTTTTTAAATTTAATTAGTGCAAAAAATGTTTAAAAAAGTTATTGGTATACTAGATTATTGTATGTGTCAATACTACTGTACTTTATGTCTCACAGCTTGAACAGATTATATATATAAAGCACAAAATGTATAATTTGTATATTTGCTGGCAGTATTTGACTTAAGTAAAAGTAAAGAATATATTTTGTAAACATTAATTTGTTGTTGTTTTCAATGTTAGTATTGCTAAAAGGTTGTTTACAGTTTAACTATTTAAAGATTTATTTTAATGCCAACAAATCTTCAATATATTTTTATGAAATGAAATTTTTTGTTTTAAATTATTTTCTTTATTTTGCATTCAATTAATTTGAATTTTTAGGCATTTACCTGAGGAGCACGGTAGCCGTTTCAGGCACACGGAATACCTGAAAAAATTATTAAAAGCTCATTTCGTTTGTCATGGTCGTGTAACAACTAGTAGATTGTATTGTTTTTCTTTTTAATTTCCTAAAAAATTATTCACTAATAATTTTAAAAAAATTCTACTAACGGGTTTTGCGTATAAAACGTGCTGAATTGAAGAGTAATTTGAACTGTATTTGGTTATTATTTTATTTTTCTGAATTGAATTCTGAATTTTATTTTCAGAAATGGATGTTTTAAGCTGGTTATGCTGTATATACCCACATACAATTATGGCTGAATGAAAATCTAAATGATCACAAGAGCTGTTTCTTATTCTAATCTATCTTAACGATATTTGACGTTTTTAAATCAACAAGTTTTTCTCACTTTGGTTCACGGTTATGTATTAAAATATTTATATTCACATTTTTACAATTAACATATTATAATATTTCCTGATTAAAACTGTTTACCTAAAGTAGTAAGGTACTTGTATTTTGTTAGTTAGTTGTTTGTTTAACTGTGCAAGATTTTAAAATTCACCAATATCCCTAATAGCCCCCTGCGTCTAAAAACCACTACTAGATTTAGCTAGTTGCAATAAAATAATAACATGAATTTCTATAACCCGTTAGTCGTCGAAACTATGATATTTTACAATGATGGAAATATACACATTTTAATAAATATTATATTACGTATTATTATATTACATATCAACTATTAAAATGATGTAAAGTGTGAAGTCTTTGAAGAATTTTAGTTCTAAACATTTTTTTTTTTAATTACAAACTTAGGGTTCAACATTTTGTTTATTTTTTAATTCGGTATTCGGCAGTTTAGTTTATTTCAGATTTAAATCCGGTTTTTGAGATTACAATTTTTATTTTCAATCACGTATTTGGGATCAAAAAATGTTTTTTCAATCCCGTTTTAGGGATTAAAGAATTAAAAAAATTTTTAATTAAGATTTTCGGAGTTACAAAATAACAAAATTTAATACAAATGTTAATTCAATAATTTTTTTATTGTATTATTTGCAACTCTGATTGTCAACCAAAGAATTGAATTCTTAGTTGCTTTTATTATTAAAAAATAAATAAAATGTTTATTATGCTTTAATTCACTTGCACAAAAAGTTGTAGGACATATTTTTGAAATTTAAACCTCAAGTATAAATATAATTTTAAGCGACTCATAATTTACTTCCAAAATTAATTACCAAAACGTTTTTAATTTTAAAATTTAATTTCTTTATTTAAAATATTTAGTTTATTTTATATTCCAATTGAAATATATGTCATAGTTACATCATTGCAAAACGTCATTTTATGCGAAAGATATGGAAAATATTACATTGTATATTTTTGTCTATTGTTTTATTGGCGCATATTCATAGATATTTACAAAAAACGCTGACATTTTTAAGCTGTGAATAGTGCTTTTGTATTTAAGAGCACTTTTCTCAAGTAGGAAATGTACTTGTTGAGATTCGACTGAAAGTCTCAATGAAGTAAAAAGCAAATGTGAACTAATCAGAACGATGTATGTATGTACGTAATCTTCGTGATGAAGAATGCTAGTATTTATACTATTAATATATGCACATAAATACGACTTTATGCAGCTATGAATATGCGCAAACTAACAAATGAAATATCATATTTCCACAAACGAAATTAAATAAAATACTGCTATTTGCTTTAATTCGTATGAAACTTCCTCCAATAATAACTTTAGTAAGTAAGGACTATATTGTTTAGTATACATTAGACATTAGAATATTTACAGAAAGTAGAATCAATTTCAATTGGTAAGTAGTGGGGACTTTGTGAGAAACAAAAAAGAAACGAATACACCTTGTAATAATTCATTTAAATGCATCTAATATTCAACATACCTTCCAGCCTAAATTTTCAAAGAACGTGCACAGACGTGACTGGCCAGTTGTTTTCCCACCACATGGACCTGCAAAGAAAGAAAAAGAAATATATAACTGCATCTTAAATATTTATAGCATGTGATTTAGAGAAATATATAAACAATATCTATATATTATAAATGTATGGTTGTATGCAATGCGGATTTAAAAATATAAATCTCCTGCCGTTTAAACGCAATTATACATCGCAACACCCCCTACTACTCAGTGATGCTCACACAAATGACCGACTGATGTATGGCAGGTGAATAAGTGGTAAACAAAATGTAAATGTTTGGCTTATACGCTAACCGTTAAAAATACTACCCTAACTTTAATATTCAATATTCTTGCCTCTATGCAACATCAGCACCACAATACTCTCACCTATCTACGTAGAAGTACAATAATTCAGATGCTATGTATACTTGCCATACATACAGATACATAACAGAACACACATCACCATGCTGACCTTGAGAAAATAACCAAAACAACAACAGATCAGAAAGAACAGACACCTCCTACTTGCTTACACGCCCATTATATGACTATGACTTCGACAGTTATCGATACGGACAGGCCCACTGGAGCATAAAAAACGTATGCACTTGTACATGTAAATTCTCAGTATTACTCTATAAATATGAAAAATAAAAACTAAGTAAAATGACGCTAAGGGTTGCTTTATTTATAATGCAAAAAACAAATAAATAAAATATTAATCAATAAAAATAGAAATTGATTGAAAATTCGCAAAACATCGCAGTAGGAAGTCGAATGTGCATATGCACATACATACATTTTAATGTATGTACGTATGTTTATACATTTATGGAGTAAACTTTTCCACCTATACGCTTGGGAACTGTCGTGATTGTGACTAAGCGATTGGCTTTAAATTGAATATGATTGAAATGGAAATTGCTCTCATATGCACAATAAATATGCATTTGTAAATGTGATTGCAAGAACGCATGTTTATCTATATGATAGTGTCTAGTAGATAGAATATGTAGCAAACAAACTATGCAATTGTTTTTCAATTGAATGAACTACATAACGGTCAATGGGCATATTTGCAAAGAAGCATAACTGACGGTCAATAACAATTGTTAAGCAGTTAATGGCTTTCGACATAATCACTTACAACAACTGGCCAAGTGCCGTAAATCAGATAATGGCATATAAAAATAAAGTGGTTAAGACTTCAATGCATATGAATGTGTAATAGTGAGCTAGTTACAACTAAATTAAATATATTTTATTTTAGAATAAAGACAAAAAGCACACAGGGCAAAATAAACGAAGTAATACTTGTATGTAAGTTATGAACGCAATGCAAACCCAGAAAATTACCTATATCATTGGCGTTAAATAAACATTTATTTGTTTTATTATTTGGACAAAAGTGTTTACATGTGATTGTTTGGTAATAACATAAAAAAACGTGAACGTATTGGTACAAACCATAGATTGCATTCGTGGTTTGATAAGATAATATACAAAATAAATCTACGAATTTTACATTAACTAATGTCGTCCATAAAATGTGTAAGTAAACTCAATGTAATTCAAAATTATTCATAAATTGAAATAAAAAAATAAATGAAAGATATTAAAAAAACGCAATATAAAACGTCAGTTATATTGAAAAATTAGTGAAAGCTTTAACCAAGAGACTCCTAAAACCAATCTTCATAAAACGCAGGTGGCTTGACCGACCACCTGTCAAAATAGTGGCAGTTTAGTTAATATTTTTTCGTGTAATAAAACAAGTCGTTTGTTCGAAACAAATTGTAATTGTTAAAGCGTCACTGAACTTAATTTTAATCAATGCATTTGTTAATTTCACTTTTTGTATTTTTTTACTTTGATTATTACTTTTTTTAAATTTAGCTTAGCGAGATTTCCATCATTCATATAGGGCAAAGTTAGCCGGCTACTACACTATGGTTTTCGTATGGAGATAGAAGCTTTCAGTGATAACAGCTGAACCACTGCAACAATAACAAAATAAGAGCTGGGCGTGTCGTTTTTAAACCGGCGTTAATATTACAAAATGTTTTCCAATAATTAAATAAATTAGTTGTATGAGCTACAAAATACACCTTCATGACGGTTATCAATTTGAAATTGCATAGATGTTGGTATATATAATATGTATTTATTTACATAGTTTATTTATTATTTTTACAAATTATCTGCACTCAATACAAAAAACCTAAATAAAGATTTGAAACGTTTGCATTTTTAATTCTGCATATGTTATGCACAAGCATATTGGAGCATTTGCCGGTATTTTAACTAATTTCTTAGATTCTTTTATATCACTGTCTATACGTACACATGTATGTTAATATATAAGTCTATAGCAGATCGTACACTGTCTATACGTACACATGTATGTTAATATATAAGTCTATAGCTGATCGTAGAAGACGATTTTTAAATAGATTTGACGCAGAAGCGAGCAGCTTGTTGAACAATGAATGTGTTAGCGGGAGCACTTATACATATCACCGAATTGACTTTTGGCAACAGTTGTATATAGTCCGTTGTTCTTTCGTGCATACAACTAGAGCATGTACATATGTACAAACTCTGAGATTTCTACAAAATTTCAAGTATATTATCTCAGCCATGAAATTAAAAAAAAAATTATATGTTAAGTGTGTTACCTATTATATGCGAATATGTAACTGAAAACTGATACCTCCCCGAAATTTCATAAAACTGGTTTAATTGAATTAAACAAATAGCAGGTATGTACGTAGTATATGTATTGGATTATGAACACGTGTACATAAATATATTGTTTGTATTAAAAAATGCAGCAACGCCGGTTGACATAAAGTTATACCGCACATTCTAGCCACAAAAGCGAGGATAATCAAGAGAAACATAACAAATGATAAATTATATCGACAATTCTACTAAAGTTTGGTATGTAACAAATTTCTTTATACACTGACTCCAATATTCATACTGCGAATACCGAATTATTTCAATAAAATTTAATTAGGTATATTGAACGTACTTACCGCCTGTTAGCACTACTTTATAAACACGCTTTTTAGAGGCACCATTTGTTTTGGCCAGCTTCAACCCAGCTCGTGGATTTAACTTTGGCGATGTCTTTTCGGGTTGTTTTTGTTCATCCATTTTCTTTTCAATGTCCTCTTGTTTGGACTGTTCCTTCGTTAGTTTGCCATTGACATTTTCTGTTGTTTCGTCCTTGCACTCCATTTTGACCAACTTACAGAAGATTGACTCACTCAATAAATCTTGTTGCACTTTTACTTGTTTTTCACAGCTGATTAATTCACCCCGTCAGTTATATGTAATGCGCGTATATGCGAGCGCAGATATAGATTTGTTGATTGACGCTTATGAATTCCGAGCTATGTTGGTGTTCTTGATACGATTTTTCCTTTGGCGTATATTATGGTTTGTCAATTTTCTTAAACTGGATTTTTTTGCTGTCAAAAGATTTTTTATATTTATAATCGAAACCGTTTACTTTGGCAAGGTGTTGTTTTTTCCAATTCTGAGTTGAACTTGATGAATTCTAACATTGAACTGTGTGCAGTGGGGATTATTCCGCTTCCGCCAAAGTGAAAAACTGAAATATCAGTTTAGCACGCGGGTTACGTTCGCCTTCAATCAACAATGAAGCAACGACCAGATATGGGCCGAATATCAGAGTTTACGTTTATCCTGTTTGTGTTTGAACATCTTCGGAAAGTTTGCACGGTATTTGCGTAATAAAAAAATTGTTTAATTTCACATTCGCAGACACATGGGAAAGACCGAAAGATTTATTCACGGTTAAACACGAAATGTAAATTTGCTTGGAGCCAAATCACTAAAATGACTGAGAGAACATGGTTGGAGAGCTCCCCTTTTTATGTAATTCGATGCAAAGGTGCCAGATGATAACAACTGCGTAATTGTCAAGACTACGGAAAAATAATTGTGCCAAAAAATCAACGTCAAGGAAATAAATTATGAATTTAACTTTATATTATAATTCTATTAATGTAACACAAATTTTACTTCTTTTAAATTATATTTATCAAATTATTAACAATAGAATATCAAGAATGTGGCAAAATTATGCGAAACAGAACACTGTGTTGTCGGATCAATATAAAATTTTTAAGTAAAAAAAGTAGTTTTACAATATTTTTTGCGATTATATGCTATCTTATAAATTTTTGTTTTTAATTACTTACTTATATGTAAAATTACTAACGTTTGAATATAATAGGAGCATGAATAAATATGCGATAAAGAGTGCACAACTAATTTATGTGTCACCCTTTGTTTCATTACTAAATTATTTACGATTATCATTAGGAAAGTTATTTGCAATTGTTCGAAATTATCATTTGGTGTGAGGAATTGGAAAGTGTATGACGTGTAAACACATTTGCGAAAATAAAAAGATGAAACTCTATGTATGTTATAAAATATTATCTAGAGCAAGCAAAAATACAGTGCATGAGTAATAAAAACAGTGTAGATTTCAAACTACGTAATCAAAATGATACGGAGTGTATACAAAGTTTCGTTTGAATTTCATTTGACAGCTGTTGCGAATGATTGTATGAGAAATAGTGAACGCTAATTGTCAGCTGATTGGGGAGGTAGCAATGTTGTTGCACTCTTGCATAAATCCCAAAAAATATTGAACGTATAATCAAACGTGTAAAAATTAACATATAATTAAGAAAAATCAAGTGCCTATCAAGGTCAATACAGACAATTGGAAATTTTAGTGGATTAAACACTGTAAATTTGACAAATTAAATATAGTATCCTCCGATAGAAATTGTGTTTTGATAGCAACATTGTTTCGACCTTCACCACCAGCTGTGCGCGGCAACAAACCAAAATCCAATTGTTGAAAATTCAATGTGGTTTCGCCATCAATTGTTCAAGTGCACTTCTAAACTATAATATTGTAATTGTGATGGAAAACGTGTATATGTGAAATTAAAGTAATAAAAAAATTTAAAAAAATCAAACTTCGGAACTGTAATGAAAATAAGAAGATTTGCTGCGCTAGCTTTGTTAAATATATTGAATAATTTGCTACACGCCTGGAATTTGATAGCTGTCCTTGAAAGGAATTTTACTTCTATTTTGCGAAGCATACATTTTTCAACACTCTTTTTCGTTGCAATGGATGGCGAAGGTGGAGAACAACGTGATCATATGGAACACGTACCAGGAGAGCCTATGGATGAAGATGATGAGGCACCCGTGATGGGTTTGGGATATGATGTTGATGACGAAGACGACGAAGATGTTGATGAAGAGAATGATGATGCTTCGGACATGTCTAGCGAGACTGATTCCGATTATTTTGTTGAAATGGATAGTGACGACGCTTCTGATAATTATATACCTGGTTATGGTGGTGATTCTTCAACCAATTCGGAAAGCGAAAGTGAAATTGGCAGCAGTACATTTTCTAATCAAAGAATTCGCATGCCTAATAAACCAATATATACTTTTAAACCTCAACGTTTAATGAAATGTAATTATAAAAAGAATTGTGCGCCAAGAGACTATCCCTTCGCGCGAAGTGGTCATCGCGTAGTCGCTTCCGAATCGCATCTTTATACATTAGGTGGTTACAATCCAAGCAATAGTAATGCAGCTATACATGGCAGTGGTATGCTTTTTCAAGAGCTATGGCGTTTTAACTTAGCAACTAAACGTTGGGTGCTATTACACAATCCATCAACGAATCGAAATATGCCAGGAGAGTTGGCATCAAATGCGCTTATCATTAGTAATAATTTATTAATTGTAAGTAAAATTTAGACAAGGTTAAAAGCTCAATTTATCTCTATCTGATATCGCCTTTATATGTACATATGAACGTGTTTGAAATATATACACACTTACGCACATAAAATTATTTGCATACATGCAAAACATTCATATTATTTTTATATTTAAAAATATTTATATAACAAATATTTATATAACAAAAAATTTATATATTTTCCTTTAGTCTTACGGTGGGACTGGATATCCCTTCGGTGAATCTTGCTCAAATGACTGCTATATTTATCAAACACAAGTTGATAAACCCAGTGTTATGCGTATTGAGGCTACTGGTGATGCGCCCACTCCACAGTATGGTCCGGGTATTGTCTTACATGAACATTATTTATATACAATCGGTGGAACAACTGGCTATGATTACTCTTGTGATGTGCATCGTCTAAATTTGCGCACACGCGTGTGGGAATGCGTTTATATATGTCGACCATATATTCGCGAAGATCCGGAGGGTCGCTACAGACATGAAGTGGTCTACGATGGTCAGTATATCTATGTGCTCGGCGGTGGCACCTCAAATTTGGTCTACGATTTGGAACGTATTCCGGCATTTAATTTGAAAACGAATCGTTGGGAATATTTTGACACTCTACCCGATAGATCATCACAACCAAATCAACAAAGCTCGCGACCAAGTTCTGTGTACCCAAAACCAAGAAAGTGCTTTTCCTGCGTGCAACATACAAAATCTAATGGTGATGTCGAAGCATTCATAACAGGTGGCTTACAGGTAAGAAGCTATAGTAAAAAATTAGTTTATACATATGTATGATTATTTTAAATTATTGCAGTCTGATCAAGTATATTTTGCTGATATATGGAAATTAAATTTTACAACTAAACAATGGACATTAATACAAACAGCGTCGCTACCAAAACCATTGTACTTCCATGCCGCAGCACATAGTCAGAACGGTTGTATGTATATATTCGGCGGTATTGAATATGATATTAAACGCATACGTCGTTGCAATGATCTCTACAAAATGTGGATGACCATACCAAAGTTAAGCGAAATCTGCTGGGAGGCTGTGTTGCATTATAAGCCCAATCTTAAATCGTATGGTCACACACAGCTACTTAAAATGGGTATACCAATATGCTTTGCTCATCGTTTGTGGTATTCTACTAAAACCAAATGATTATTTAAAAATTGAATGGAACTAATAAAACGCGACGTTTAATTAACAGTGATAATAACTATTATTTTTTACTCCATAGGAACATTTGGCCATTAACGCATTAGTATTGAATAAACAATTAACGGTAGTGGTGAAGCAAACAAAGAAAATAATATATAAATAAAATAATTACATTTATAAATGGAAAATCTTATACTTATGTACCGCGTGATAACAAAAATTATTTGAAATATGTTCGTTTAAGAAAATACATCGAAAATAACAATGAACTTCACTTACTGTGCACCATTTTTCAAGTTTGGTTTTTAATGCAAATAACAATTTCTTATAAAATTTAATAAATTTCCGGTGCTCCAATGCGATATATATTGAATTTGGCCAAAAATACAACAACTTCAGTATATATGTTAAATTTTTCTTTTTTCGAAAAGTAAGAAACACGCTTTCAAAGCTAGTCATACATAAATCGGATAACAGAGAACTTCAGAACTTTAACATCAATACTCACGTTTAGCTTGGGCCACAGCTCCGTTTACATACATAAACCAGCATACATATGTATTTATATACCTACATAAGTGTGAATTAAAATAAGTTAGTAACATGCAGTTTCATAAGTGATCGAGTCTAGAGTCTAATAGCTTTGTGCTAATAATGAACATATACGTACTTATGTATGTGTATGTGCGTATGTATGCAATTAGATTTTCCAAATAATAAGTAAAGTAATTTATAATTATAATAACAGAAGTTTAATTGCAAAAAATTTACTTTTTTGAGCTGCAGATTACTAACTATTGTTTCGCAAGATTGGCTTTTGAACTCAAAATTGCTCTAATATTTATGTGATTTTTACGAGTACTTCAGCCAAATAATTCGAGCCAACAATGCATTGCAAATAATTATGAATAATGATATCAATGATTAAGAATTGAAAAATAATGTACACCGAGCAGTTACAATTGTACATACTTAAATATATATGTACGAAAAAAGTAATGACCCGCATATGCATACATACATTATGTGCTACGTACATATATGTGTATGTACATACGTGTTTATTGCCATGGCTATGCTAGAAATTTAGTCTTAGTATGTATGAAACATATTTAGCTAAAGTTAATTTTTAATTGTAAATATGCGATTGCAATAAAAAAAACACTTTCAGAACAATGTTTATTGTTTTACGTTTTTGGCTGCTAAATATACTGAGTTTATTTATAGTAGGAAATGGGTCTATATGAAAGTGATATAGAATATACGGCTTGCATTTATGTACATTCTATGTAAGCCAATTGTCATCGTGGGAGATCGTTTGTATGTATTTGCATTACATTTGTTATTCGTGTAACAAAATCATATTACAACATCTAGTGCCTGTTGCATTTGTACTATCATTTGAGTAGTCCAAGTTGAAATTGACCTTTCTCTGAGTTCATTAACCTCTTCACTGGATGTAAATGCAGTTGATCAGCTGCAATGATCGCTTTTAGAACAAAAAGAAGCTGGTGTTCAAAGCAAAAAAAAAAACAAATGCGTAATTTATGTCTGTAGCAAGAACTGCGTATTTGTTTGCTTTTCAAAAGCCAGAACGGAAGGTTATGCGCTTCATATGCAGTCGTAAACAATAACGTGATAAGCAGTAAGTATATTCGAAGCAGCTGATTTTTGGTGGTGGCATATTGTTGGATTGCTTATGTTGCTTGTGTTGTTGATTTAGATGGCAGTCACATGGGGATTCCTTTGTCGCCGAATATCGGCAAATTCTCGTTTGGTGTCGCTCTGTGCGTTCACACGAGCGTAAAGAGTCCAGCAACACGAGTCGAATATTTTTGTCATTCGTTTTCATACAATTTTCGAAAATGTCTGTACGGTTCGGTTACGCGACTCTTAGAGCGTGTTGCCATAGTTCATTTGTATGCTGGTATGGTGGTCTCACATTTTGCTTGCAAGGACATACTATGAAAGTGGTAGAAGAATATTTAGAATACCCGCTATTAATATTTTCAAAGTCCCTTCGTCGTGCCTCGTCGTCCCCTCGCCCACAAAAAACTGATTTTGGAACTATAAGAGTCCGTTTGTGAACTGCGACTTAATATGCGACGTATCAAAATATGTTTGCTTGTATTTCAAATGATCTATTTTATGAATACGCATTATGCATTTAATAAACAAGCCCATATGGGGAATGACGTCATCACCAAACAAAAGGTATAGATTGTATATATCATATGTATGTATTAAAACAAGTATATAAGTATGAATGTTTATGAGCATTTCTAATTGTAAACTGCATCTAGTTTTTATAATTTTAAGTTGATCAGAATTGGTGTAATGCATTGTTTGCTTTTTATTCACTTGCACGGTATTTTAGTTATTCAATTTAAAACCAAATCATGTAATAATAATTTATTTGAAAATTAAATAAAATATTTACAAAATTCCAATTGGAAATGCAACACTGTTCCAATGTGGATGGTATTGCTGTTATCGGCCGTTTTGTTTTTAGTTGTGTTATGTTTCATATTATTTATTGCAGATATTTTCACAAGTTTTTATTAACATTTTTATACTTATAAGTGCAAATATTGAAAAGCATGTTAAAACCAAAAGCCCTAACGCAAGTGCTAGCACAGGCAAACACTGGTGGTGTGGAGAATACACTGTAAGTTGATATGCCCCTAATCGCCATACTTTTTGTGTTCGACGCAGGACTTTTACAAATTCCAACTTAAATATGTACAATTTTAGATTACTTAGTCAGGAAGGCGCTTTGCTTGCCTACGCCGGTTATGGAGATAAGGATGCTCGTGTAACTGCGGCAATCGCAAGTAGTATCTGGGCGGCGTACGAAAAACATGGGCGCAATGCATTCCGTGAAGATCGACTAACGTTTGTGTTATTAGACTGTGAATGTGGGCATGTGGCTATAACACAGGTGAGTGATTGTATTGTGTTTTAATCAGTTAATTAATGGTAATAATGATTTACTTTCAGGTGGCCAGCATATTGCTTTGTTTGTATGCAAAGGAAATGGTCGGTTTGGGTTTACTTAAACAGAAGGCGATGGCATTGGCAAATTATCTAGAGGGGCCATTAAAACAGATTGCAGCTACATAAAACAGCCATCATCGTGTATCTACAATATGTGTGTGACTTGATCAAGCCAAAATAGTGGACTAAAAATATATTAAGCCTTTAAATAAAAGTAAATTAGTAATGAAAAATCTAGAAATGATTATGTATTATTTGTATGTACGTAGATATAATTAGATGAAGTGGAATTGGCGTATTTCAAAATAATTACATACATTTTTGTAAGCCGTTTAAGATTACAAACGATAAATACAGTTTAAATTACACTTATTTATAGTATGTTAGCCATTATGCATACAGCTTTCTACGAATTCATTTAACTGAGTGGTTTTTATTGATACTATTGAATTTAAAACTTTGTATGGTAAATAATTGAAATTGTATCTTTCTCTTTCGACGCCACATATTATACATTAATTTTATTTTATTCAATGGCATAAAGTTTTAATGTACGATCCATGCTTGTTGAAGCTAGATATTGTGCATGTTTGCCGAAACGCACACCTGTGGCCAATGCTGTATGATCATTAAAGACTTTTAAATCCTGCCATTGCTTGCAAAGGTGAATCCTGTAAAGTAAAGAGAAAATTATTATAAACAAGGAAGTTGGTAATTGGTATCAAAATATTAATTAGGACATAACCTCTAACTATGAATATGCTACGTTTATTTAGCTACTCTATGTACGATTTTAGTCAGGTGTTGATTTTTTAAAATACCATAGAAACGATTATTTTTTTTAAGCGTGAGTAGCAAATATTATTCCGTTTAACTGGCAACTAACTTGACAACGTATTAAATAATTGTTTTGTAGATAGAAATTTTGGTGAATTCAAGAGCTTTGCAAAGATGAAAAAATTTAAAAAGAAAATCTACCGAAAATATGAAGGTGAATTATTACAACAAAAGATATTAGAGCATTTTGTTATAAGCTTTAAGGAAATTTTTGAAATTTTGCTTATTAGATTTTTACGATGCGAAAGATTTACGCGATCCAGACACTTTTCCAAACATAAACTTAACTATCAATGATTTTGATGCGGTAAGTTGGGAAAATATGAAAATTTTAACATTATTATTAGGCAAACATAATCATTTTAAAATTTTTACTTTTCAAAAATTATTATTCGTGAGTTGGTATTTAAAATTTAAATTGTTTGGATTTTCCGCTTCTAGCGGGGCGGTGTGGTGAATCCCCGTGCACCCTGTCTCGTAACTACTATCGATCCAAGCTACGTGAAGGATGCACGCACGCAACGCTTGGCTAGGAAATTTCGAATGAAAACGTACCGTATAATCTATATATTAAAATTTAAATGAAATTGAAACAAAATTTATATACGATACATATTTTTAAATCTATACAGCGATATATTATTGTTACGTGAGATAACACGTAAAAAATTTATGATCTACTCAACACAACAAATGTATTTGGATAAAGAACGCGAGAAAAAACAACAGGATGACGAATATCAGGGGCTGCTGAATTTTTATGAAGTATGATAACAAACAAATATAATATATTACACAGCTATATGAATAAACGAAGTAAATTTAGTCCACAGAAAATGCATTGGAAACAGTTGAAGCGAACGCTTTTAAGGATATGACAGCTTCACTTGAGAAATGGCACGATTTACAAAAGTGCACTTTAGCAGATGAGCTAAAAGCGGCGATAGAAGAACACAGGCGCGCTTTAGTCGAAGCGCATGAAGTTTATCAACGATTTTTATATCTACTTAAATTAATTGTAATCTATTTACTAACAGCAAATTGTGTATAACTATAAAAGTTTAATTTTTTTTTTAATTTTATAGGGTTATTTTGATGAAATCGACGATGAAGCGGTTGGCGCTGAAGGTGACAGACTAATTTTACCTAAGGAGATTGCTGAACTCAAACCACAAAACGAAAGCGAAAGCGGCATGAAGCAAATAGAAGTTGTTAGAAAATATATGGATGTGGTTGTGCGTCCATATTTGGCTAAAAGGAATCACTTGAATGCGGATGTTTGGTTGAAGGTTAGCACTGGGGAATATGATTAATAATTTATAACTAATACAGTATTTATTTCTAGGGGTTTGATCTGACTAGAAGCAAACTTACAAATTATTATAAACGTTACACAAACTTGGCGCTGTTAAACCACATTGTTGCATTGGTATATGAAAAATTCGTAAGTGTAATTAAAATAAAGCCGACTATATATTTTACAACGCCAATCTTTGCAGCAAAAGACACAGGCACGTTGCAAAATCCCACCAATGCTTAAAGATCCCAACTTCATGAAGGAACGTGTCGCAGCATTAAAATTGCAGGCAGAGAAGACTTTGGTGAAATACGAGCATAAACAAAGTCGAGAGTAAGTTGATTAATTACTTGTACATGAAACATTTAAATTAATATAAAATTTCTCAGCAAATTGTCCTTAAAACTCAACGCCATAGTACCAATAATTTTGAAGACCTTACAAAGATCTGCAATGAAAACTACGCAACCAGAAAAGGCACCAGCCCAGTTGAGTGACATCGAAAACGCAGTGGGAGATGAGAACCAAAGTATAAAATCTTTTCAATCGCGACAAGAGTCGGCTTTAAGCTCGTGCCGCGATGAACCAGATACTACGCTAGCTAAAATTGCGCTAATCCAAGCACATCTCTTGGTGGGAAGTATTTGTTGCTTAACAATCGATTTTTTAACCACATATTTTTACTCATTACTTGTAGTGGCTACTTAACGAATTGGATGACATGCCACCAGAACTTTGCAAGGAAGTTGAGAAACGTGTGCGATGGCGCTTTAAATTGGCGAAAGAAAAGTCACGCCGAGCTTTGGTTGAGCAAACACGTTTGCAGAATTGGCTGACACATTTTAAAAAGCATGAATTGCAACGTCAAAGGGACACAGCTATTTGTGTGCGCCGAAAAATAGTACACGAATTGAAACAATAAATTAAAAAATTTACAATTTTAAAAGATATGTTGTTACTATTTCTGCTTACCTGACATCCGTGCCCGCTATAGCCAAATATGTACCACTCTGGTCAAAGCAAAGATCCTTAACTTCATAACCATCCTCCAATTGTATTGTCTTGAAATTTTTCAATTTACGCAAATCCCATAATTTGACGCAGGCATCATCTGCTGCAGTAGCCAAATAATAACCGTTTTCCGAAAAACTAATCGCTGATATCGGTCCAGTGTGTCCAGGGAAATTAGCTACATTACTTTGTTCTTTTAAATCCCAAATCTTCACCTGTGAATCATCAGTACCAGTGCCGAAAATCAAACCGTCAGGATGGAATTGCGCGGTTGTCAAACCCACCTCAGCAGTATCAATTACCTGTAGAAGGGAGAAGTACGAACGTATTTTCATATGTGAAGTGTTGCAATTATGCGTATTAAATTCTAACCTTTGTTAGCAAACGCCCTGTACGAATATCCGAAAATGCCCAATGCTTGTCCGAAGATGTTGAAAGTATATAATCGCCTGTTGGATGCAATGACAAACCGGTAACAGGTCCATCATGGCAACGTAGCAGCAACTGTGTCTGTGAAGTGGGCACATGCCAAATGCGTATAGACATATCGGGTGAACCCGTAATAACAGTATCCTCATCCGGATGATAGATGACTTTGGTAATCTTTTTTGTATGCCCCTTAAGTATAGCTACGACCTGTTCGGTATCCTTATTGAATACCGTTGCATTTTTATCATTACCACCCGTTAAAATTTTACTATGATCCGCACTATTAATGTCCAAAGCTAAAATGCCAGGTATCGAAGCCGAATGTAGACCAGGATGTGAAGCAACAGTCATAAATGTTTTAATTTGTTCTTGGGTAATCAGCTCTTCCGGCACAGTGCGTCCACGCTTCTTGCGTTCCTGTGTCAAAACAGTAGCTTTGTCTTGCAACTTTTGTATAACTTCGGCACTCATGCCAGCCTGCTCAATAGGTTGCGTTGCATTACCTGCCGCTTCGGCAGCAATAGCTGGTTGTGGTATCGAGGTTGGCGCAGTTGAGGTGCCAATACCAGCTTGTGGTTTGAGTGTGGCTAAAGCTTCCCGTGCAGCTGCCACCTCCTTATTTAAACGAGAAATAACACGACATGCAGCATCGTGCTGATACAACGCATGCGAGAGTTCCTGTCGCGCCGTCTGTAATTGTTGTCGTTGTGTGAACGAATGCAACATAAGTGCGTCCCATTCATCTTGCATAGTCTTCAATGTGGCTGGTATACTAGTAGCACTCGGCGGTTTCGGTTTCACTATTGGTGGTGTTTTTATATCAATCAACTCCTCAACTTTCATTTCTTTGCCGGTGATTGGGTCGCAACCATTCTCGAGTATGTACTTTTCTATGATTCGCTTTTCAAATATTGCGCCCGAGTGTGGCGAGATGACAGGTGTGTCTGGCACTTCATTTGTAACTAAGAAATTAAAGAATTAGTTAAATATTAAAATATCAAATATGTTTAAAACAAAAATGCTATTTGAGATTACTGACAGCGGCAGCATTAGCGCCTTCAAACATAACCTAAAAATGCATTGATGCTTGATTTAATTTTTCTACATACTTGCGCAGACCAAAGACATTGTTTATTGTATTTTGGTCGAAGTTTAGGTTTTGTTAAAGAGATTTGTGTCCAAATTATTATATTTTTCTAATAGTTAAACTACTTTTTTGCAACCGAAAAACAATACACTGCGTCTGAGCGGAATAGCAAATTTATAGTGTTGCCAGACGCCAAATATTGTATAGATGTTACCAGCTTTTAAAATTTTTGCTCTAAATATACTTAACCCTTGGTTATCAAGACAGGTACTGTTTTTATTCATATATTTGATAAATCATTAATAGTTATGATGAATGTACGAAATTATAATTTAATAAATTGTTTCAATCATTTCAAAAATCTTTTGCAATAAAAAACTTAATGTGAAATACAAGAAAGGGTTGTCAATAGTACGTGATACATATACATATATGTACATAAATCAATGTTGGAGCTCGAACAAACTGCTGCATCGAACTCTCTGCAACATCGCTCCTGCGGTCGGTAACGGTTTAACTAAATTGAACCCGTTAAGCGAGAGGGATTCGAAGAAGATGTTATGCTTCAAACAGTCACCGACATTTCTCCCTTCCGTACTTACCGCCCGTATCAAACCAAATTTGTTAAAAGTTTTGCCCGTAGTTGGAACGCAGAAATCAGTTGTTCTCTTTTGTTTTCATTTCATTCAATGTTGCTATTGTTCTATTTGTATACACGATTTTTCACACATTTGGTTTTTAAGTTATAATTTTTGATAATGTAAAAGCTCAAAACTAAAATACAACTATTAAAAATAGTCTAGCTATTTATAAATAAGTGTATTCGACTGTGATTTTGAGTTATTTTAAAAATATTTCAAATATATTCCAGTTTATATTTTAAACACTATAAAATATCGAGATTGGCAATCCAACGGTGGTAAATGTTCATTTTCATTGCGCTCTCATAAGATAGTTCGTATCAGCTGATTTGGTCCACGGTTTTGCGTGGATGATTGCTTCAAGCATTAATGACTTCATGGAAATGGCGTTCAGTGCCTGTCTTAAGTTGATTACATTCTAGCTTGGTTGGTTACATTTTTTATGTTTTCAGCTATTTACAGGAATGACCTCTTAATGTTGGCATAAATAAACACCACTAAGACGAATTGTGCTTGTGTTGGAAGCTTTGATAAAATATGATTGTTTACTTTATAACTTAAGGCAGCTTTAACAAACAAAAGCAACACTATTGAAATGAAATCGAAATTTAAATGCAAAGAATACCAAATCTTAGAGGAGGAACTGGTTAGCAATGTGCATAATTCATTAAAAGTAAAAATGAAAACAAAAAATGATAAAAGTAAAATAAAGATATGATTAGTATGCATTGCCATGTGATGGAAGCAATGAAAAGTTGGTTTTAAAGCTGCTTGAGTATTGTATAAATATTTTGTCATGCGACTTCAAAGACTTATTTAAATTTTGTGTACAAAATGAAGATTAATTAGCGAATTATAGTATTCACAACTTATTCATATAATATTACTTTTAAACAAGTTTCATTTGTTTTTGAAACTCAACTAACTGTTTTAATTTGAATTTAATAAAAGGTTTAATTTAATATACGGCTAAGTAAATTAGCTAGTAAAAAAAGTAGTATTAGCTATCTTCGAATCGACTTACTACTATGTTGAAGCTCTGCTCTCTTGTCGAAAATTCTATTTGATTTATGACAGTTGTTTGTTCGATACACCACTCTCTAAGATTATGGTATTAGAAGCAAGAAACCACGATAGGGGAAAACGTTGGTTGTTGGTTTTAACAGCACATTTTACAAAGAAGAGTTTGCATTGTTTCAACTTTTTTTGTGGTTAAACATATGCACATAACTTTTAAATGGCACGTAATTACATTAAGACCAGAAAGTTTCCGGAAATTGTTAATAAAACGAACAATTTTTAATCTTCATCAATATTTATTTTGTCACCTTCTAAATATGATCCTACTGAAGCGATACACATAAGCCACCTCAATTTCAATTTCATCGAAACATGCCTTGTAGGCGCTGTTCGGGATCGCCTACAGTTCGCTCTGCGACACTTTTAAAAAATTTATCAAAGGTTTGATAAAACAAATGTTACTGTTTCGAAAAGGTGATTCGAACTGATCATCATGCGGTGTGTTGCTAAATTCCGTACAGTCCGAAGCACAACATGAACTCGAGAATGGAAGACTTAGAAATAAAATATTACGAACGAAAATGTCTTAAAGATTTACAAAATTATTTTGAATGTTTTTAAACTCAATAAATCCACATGTTCGATAATGAAAAAAGCTCAATCGGCAGCTATCTGAGTGAAATGGAAGCGATAAACCACTGACGTCTATGCCATCTGATCAAATTTGACTCGGACTGGTCCATAAGCTGCACAAACCGAATCGATAAAAACCTTTATCTTAGTTACAATATATTCTATTTTTTAATGTTTGTGAGTGAGTTTGATCTCCATATGCCAATAAGTGTGTGTTTGGCAGCTGTTTGTTTCCGACACGAAAATTTTGTCTGGCGCTTTTTACCATGGAAACAAATTTGAACAACAAGTTTACTCAAAATTTTGTGTTCCAATGGAATCACAGCAACGGAATTAGGAATTAGTAAAGGTCGTTAAGTCATCGAAAACTTGCCTCATGCGAGTCGTCCATCAACCTCTGTTAATGACGATAACATCGAAAACATTAAAGAAACTGTGCTTGAAAATGGTGGTGTTGGCATTAGAGATATAGCAGATTATCTCAACATCTCTTATAGACCGACTCAATATATAATATTTTGGTTAATCCTTTGGGAATGAAGTGCGTCAATGTTAGACACGTATCAAAAAAACTTAAATCGTTTGCAAAAGCGACGTCGAGTAGAGGTTGCAAAGAAGATGCTTGACAAGGTAGCTGGGGACCCAACATTCATTAACGCATTATTGTTGCTGATGAGATGTGGGTATATGAATATGGCGTAAAAAGTATCATTGATAGACTGTTATCTAGCCAAAGACGCTTCAAAAATGAGAAACCAAAAAAAAACAAAAAAACAAAATTCGCTGAAGGCATTGGAAGGCATCACAGCGGATTCTTACACTGGTTGTATGGTAAACTTGATTAAACGTTGACATACTTGTATTGGCTTTGAAGGCAATATTAAAAATGTCTATCACAATACGTGAAAATTTTGGTGTTTTGTCAGCTCGGGGTAAAATTTGATGGAAAAAATAGCGGAAAGTGCCGTTTCGATACACGGTGTCATAAATCAATGAAAACGATTTCAAAATTACACGAATTTAACTTAAAATTGGTTCCATAGCCATTATTAACTTTAAGACTGAGAACTACAATATTTGGGAAAAAAAAAATTATTTATTACAAAAAACTACTACAATCGATGGGCCACCTTTGATGGCTATTTTGAATAGTAAAATCAAACGTTGTCAAAAATCTGTTGGCAAGCTTCTGACACCGTTTATTTAGAAACAAAACTCACACCACAAGTGGAAGGATATTTATAGCAAAGGAAGGAGAAGATGTTTGCATACATGTGGGCTTGGCTGAGTATACTAAGTATAATAAAAAAAGAAGAAGAAAATAAAATATAGGCAGAAGTAAAAATAAAAAATAGCTCTCTTATATCGTTTAGCCGCTTTATCGAAAACTAGTTTGATATGAAACTGAAATGCCGAGTAAAAAATTAATTCTCCAAAAAAAAAAACCCGAAATTCGACAAATTGCCAGTGGCCATAAACAAGATTCTCCTCTTTATATATAATATGTAATGCAAAGCCAGTGAAGAAGCCTCCTCGCATCGTAGATGACCTTGGGTATTTCCTGTTATAGACATGATGCATGATCCTCTAAAAACGTGTTAAAATACGGTACTTCGTGCTCATGTAAACGGTCACTGCGGTAACTCAGCACATCCAAGTATGTAGTAGTATGTGTATGTGTATATGCATACAACAGTCCCATAACGCGTCTGCCGGCTTGTATAAGAAGTGGTTACACTTACAAAGCTCGTCTCTGAAGGTAGCTTCGACGGAATGCGGCAACTGTCAGGCACTTGATTTATCACCTGCCACAGGTTGCATATTGACGACCTGTGCGCACTGACGTGCATGGCTAAAAATGCACTTGTGTGTGAGTGAGTATACTTATGTAAGTGTAGCTGATAGCTGATATTAATATTTAGTTGCAGCAGTCTTGCAGTATAAGGCAGCAGTGGATGAATAATTGAAAGGTTTTCGAAGACAGAGCATCCGAGCAGCTTGATGCAGCGGCAAATTAATCCAATAATATTGACCTTCATGCGTGCAACGCGAATACGCATTAAAATGGATTATGCATATAAACAACAACAAGATATATATTCCATTTGATTAGACAGTTTTTAATATCGCTTTACAGGTGATCATAATAAGCTTTACTTTGGCTCAATTTAGTATTTTCACAGCTTTGAAGGAATCTGAGAGTCGAACTGTCGCATTGGCCCAGCTTTGATATCACTACCCAAGTTATTATATATTCATTTCGAGTGCTAGTCCTTTTCATAAATCAACTGATTCAAATCATCTGAGAATACGTTTTCTGGCGGTCTGCAAAGTCTAAAATTTCTGCCCGGCGAGAACTTTTCATGTTCCTGTGATTATTTTACTCTTCAGGTGGTTGTGCATAGATTACACTTTGAATTCTAGAAAACACGTCACTTATTCCGCTAACTTTTCATATCCACTATTTCTGCAGAATATAACCCACGCAGTCTTTTGAGTTGCCTATTGAGTCGCATCTCATCACGTATCAATGCGAAATCAAACTTTCCAACGTTATTCTCCATGGTAGCCGTTTTCAGAGCACCCCATCAGGGCTCTCAAACCGTCCTACGAACACGTTGAAACTTTAAACCAATTTTACGCTATCCATTGAAGGAGAAGACAACATCCAAGAAATCTTTTATGTTACTTCAAAATAAGAGTCGAATATCCGACCCGTATTACTCTTTGTCGATGAAGTTTAAATTTTGACAGCCGTGATAGTCACGCCCTTAGGTTACGTCTTCCTTACTTATTATCGATATGATAAAGATTTTCACAATGTTACTTTCATTGAAACCCTCGTCCGTTTTAAAACGGGGAGTAGATTTACACAACATCTCTTGAGACAGCTCATAGTACATTATACTC